TGCATATTAATAGATCTTCGCATCTTAATGAGTGTTGATTTTTTTGCCATCCTATGCCATTTTAGTAGTTCTTGGCCATAACAATAATAGTTAACAATTTATTATTCAACATACAATTCACTATTCTATATATACATATACATACATATACATATATATGTACACACATCTGAAGATTTGGATTGGACATGTGACACATAGTACCTTCTCTTTAAAGCACTTTTTAATAATGTTAAGCCAACTGACCATTTGCAAAACAATCACTAACAACTCTCAACCAGTCACTGCTTATTAATGGTCTCCATTAAACAAAGGAAAAACTCTGACAAAACACCTCAGATCAAGCCTGCAGTGAGAACAGTGCTAGCAGTAAATTAGTCAGAATTATTAGGCTAAGAGATGTGTAAAGGTGTTACCGAGGACATTTTAATTCAAACACACACTATCCTGATCATCTGGAGAGTGGTGCTGATTTTACTTCATTCCTGAAGTTGAAAACTTTGCAGAAGACCACACTACAGCGCAATGTCACTAGAACAAGCAGCTAAACAAGGTAAGTTAAACTTTATATAGTTCACTATACTTGCTAACATTCATTTTAATATCATGACTAATGATAAATAACGTTACAGAACAATGTTAAGATCATTAGCGATGTGTATAAAATTATCCTCCTCAGCATAATGTTGCAATGACTAACTATTGTTAAATTCAACTCATCTGAAGGAGCAGTTTCCATCACGCAAAGCCTTCTCACCAGATATGAAAACTTGCTGTGTTAACATCTAGTGGTTAAAAGATTTCTGGTTTCATTAATGTTAACATGGTTTTCACAATTCTTTTAGATTTAAACTGGCTTATATTTACTGCCTCAATTCTCAGATGTATATAAGCAATGAAAATTCAGTAAAACAAGTCTTTTTTTTTTAATGTACTCTTCCTTGTTGCTGCTGACATTTTTCCCTGCCATAGTGCTTAGTGCCCAAATGTAAACACCAGCCTCCACTGGCGCACCCGTCTAAGCACTGATTGGGAGTATCCAACAGAGCATTATAGGTCCTTTTTACAAGAAATGTTAATTCGTAAATGGTAAAACAAATCCCACTACTGCCTTATGGATGATTATGAACCTCAGAAATACTGGCATTTGTATCACTTCAGCTCATCATGGAAAGGTATGTCATCTTTGTCATACTTGCCAAGACTGAAATTCAAGGATCTGTCCAGAACACCAAACACACAACAATGTGGGAGTTCAAGCTGAACAAAGGAAATGTTCCTTCACAGCTATCAAGCCATGATAACATCAGACAACATCTACAGAGTGATAAAACAATGGATAAGTGAAAATAGCTAGATAAGCCAGGTTAGCTGGAGATGTTGAAACAAGAAACTAGTTGACAAATGCACACATATTGGCAGAGGGGCATATCTTGTAGTCATGGTTCATCATGCCACTGTAGTGTTTTCCACAATCACTGGCTCTAGTGAACAGAAATCTACTCCCTACCGAGTACTTGCTCTCTCAAATGCTGACAGCTTTTGAGTGGAAACATGAAAACTATTCCACTGAAAGCAGCTGGGAACAGCACCAACTTTAAAATGTGAAATGCCTTCAGTGTAACATTACTTTTATTTCTTTAGCCCTCCTAATTGCACAAACTCGGTTTCCCTCTTCCTTGTCATCAGCTGAGAAGCCATCAAAACTGAGATAGGACTGTTTTCGCTTTTTGAACACTCTTATTCATGGACTTGGTTGTAGTTTTCATGGAAGCAGCATAACCAAGCAACAAGTACTTCCAGCAGAAAACCTGGAAATATGAAAAGGGCTTATTGACCTTGCTCTCTTTGGATGGGTAAGGTCACTCAACACGATGTCAGCCAACGCAGGGACTGTTAGCTAACATGAAAGAACTGGCAGTTAGCATTCACCTCCAAGCACAGTGAGCTCTCTAATGATATTGGGTTAGTAGCAGTGTGAGGACAAGTGATGTCTGTCTTTATGTGACTCAGCGGAAGCACAAGCTAGCTTTCACCAATACCCAGCTTGGAAGCACTGTGTGATAAGGGGAGACCCATCTCAGGGATGGAACTGGAACTTAGGCAAAACACTCACGAAGAGCTCAATCCCACTGATAAGGCAATGAGGGCAGAACTTCACTCCCTGTAGCCATCCAATTTAGCCCAAGTCTACCATCTTCAGTTGTAGTTGTAGAACAACTGGCAGAGCAGCAAGCAGATCAAAACTAAAATATGACTTGCATGAATTTTATTTCCCACAGTGCTGTGAAACGGCCAAGAGACAATGATTTATTTCTTCTGGTGTGGATACCAGAGCCATATTGCTGATTTTATCAAGCCCGCTCCTGTTGTTCAGACGGGTCTTTTTATTTACCCAGCAGTCCCAAGCTCATGTAAGAGTGATTAGAACAGCTTTGAGAAGGAAATTAACAATTTTCCCAAAAGGAAATTAGAAGCCCAGCCACCAAGGTTTAGGATTGAGCCCTTAAGAAATCAAATACTAAAAACCCTTCACCACATTTCACACCTAAACCAAATCCGTTTTTGCTTTACAGACTCACTTCACATAATGTGTGGAGCAGAGCATTACTTTGTTAGTCTAAAGCCAGGTAAAACTCTAAACACAAAGCTAAAAATCATTTGAATTAATTATTTCAGCTTCAGATACATGCAACTCAGACTGATTCAGACATAAATAAAGCTGCAACCTGATAACTGATCCAAACAATACCCAAGCACTCATGTCTAATGTTCTATAATCTCTGTCTTTCACAAAGCATTTTACATTTGTAGTGCACAGAATTGCTGCAGGGGGTTGATTAAATTAATTTAACTTCACAAATTATTAAGCCTTTGAATAGAGTACAAATCACAACTCCGCTCTATCCTTAAATTGCTACAATAATTTGCTTTGAGTGTTTGGCAATGCTCTTAAACAAACAGCTAAAACTGACTGACAGCCACTAAAGGGACCATGCTGTGAATTTGTGAACTTGTTTATGGCTCAATTAATGCATGGCAAGGCAGACAGACGTCTAACATTAGCTCCATCTGAAAAGCTGAAGACTCACTCCCTTCCTACCTCTGTGATCACAGGCAGTTTAAATGTTTCACTTCCAAACCACAGAATTAGGCCTATAAAAGTCTAAAGTACTTTAGTAAATGTTTACACCTTCCCAATGTAGACTGAAACGTGCAGCTATGCGTTACACTGAGGCAATGTAATCAAATTCTTTCTGCTGTGTGGCTAACCATTCGAAATAATTATCCTCTTTCTTTGTCAAACTAGTTTATATAAATGGTTCGCACACTTGAAAACTATCACTGACCACCTTATAGAGTTCTGTATTCCTTGGACGGAAGCTGGTTTAACCGACTTTTTGCCACTGACTACTTCAAATTAGCGGGGTATCACTGCCAAATGGTGAGCCTATTCATTCGTTAGAACTACACGGTGAGCTAAGTTTATTGTGTTTATAAGCATTAGCTTAGGAGAAAAAAATGGTTTGACTCCTAGTTCAAGTCAAAATGTATGAGTTGCATTTTTAGACCAGCAGATCCTTTAATTATAGAGCATACTGATTTATGGATCCATTACAAAGCACAGTATACTCACCTATATAGTGTCACCAGAATAGCAAACTAATTACACTGTAAGGTAAATTCTCCAGCAGTAGACTATCCACCTGCACCCCACAGACTACGAGACACTTCATGGCTGGTCATTTGTAAGTATGTACACGTTACATGTCAAATGAATATATCTAAGTGGTTCATACACACACTGGCTGTGTTGTGCGGTTTCCTATTCAATAGGCTGAAGACAGTTTTTAGGGGGCATTCTGACCTGATACTGGTGTTTAATATTATTTTTTTATGTTATGTATTATTCTGCAGCACAGCACATATATCCTGCAGGCCTGCATGCTGTAGAACAGCATTACATCCTTCAGCCCCTGTTTGACAGAATTCACAATTTTTTCATGTTTTTGTTCACCATCATTCTCCTACTACAATACCCAGCATGCATTTGGCAAATACTTAGCATTAGCTCGTACCTTGTTGTTAAATAAAACTGAACCATAATTCTGTTTCATTCAGCACAAAATACAGCCAAGTTTTTATCCCTTTTCAGCCAGAGAAATGGAGCCAAACTGAGGCAAAGACATCTAGATAGCCAGGTAGCTAACTTGCTAACTGTGTCTAGCTTGTTGTCCTCCTCATCTGATAAGTCATTTCTGTCGTCCAAGTAATCCATTTTCTCTATTGTAAGATCATTTTAATACAGTCACTACAGTTATACAGCTGCAACAACATATTTGGCTTCCTATAAATAATATTAGCTATCCGGCTTTCTTCCGCATCCACCAGCTAAAGAAAAGTTAGTAAACAAATAAATAAGAAACAGCCTGACCTCAAAAATTCACCCCAAAGCAACTACAGTTTTTCCTTTACAGTTCCGCCCACCTTCAAGATACATCACCAGAAGGGGGTTTTCCTCGTCTTTAAACAGAGAAACCCAACCCTCAAAAAACTACTGCGGCTCTGCTATACGATGTGAGTAGGCATATTCATAACAGAGGTACCTTTGCTTAAATTTTTCATTCTGGCCAAAACGTCTCTTTCAGTGTTGGCAGCCTCGCATTGTGTTAGTTTTTGTCATTCACTACTTCACATTTGCTTTCGCATCGGTGCCCTTTGGAGAGATCTATTCGTTCCCAAGGAGTCAAATTCCCCCTCTTTTAGAAAGTCTCCCTGTTTCCTTCGGCTTAACCTGCGGAGTTTGGGTGCGATAACCAATCTCACCACAGCCTCCTTTTCCTTGAAGAAGTAATATAGCTAAGGTGACGCGCGGGACAGGCTGTGTTTATAGGCGGCTTCGATGACTCTGATTGGTCCGCCGCGGTGGGTGTTTGTCGTTTATGCGCCTGTGACGATTCTGATTGGTCCGACGCGATGGGTGTTGTTTCCGCATTCCGCCGTGACAGCGAGTGGAAAGTGGGGGGGAACAGCGCTGTCGCCTCAGCCGAGCAATAGGAACTACAATCCTCTGGACAGCTGTCACCCTGTAGGTCAGCGACGACAGTCCAGGATGCCTTACATTCTCATCAGCACACAGATCCGGCTGGTGTGTATTTCTTTTACTCTATCTGAACAGAAATGTGTTTTTTCCCTTAAGGCGTGGTATGAACCTGACAGCGGTGGCAGATTGCAGATGGCAGTTCAGCACAGATTATAGCTTCAGGGTTTACTGAGACATTAGTGTCACTGTAGCCGCGCATCGCTGTGTGGATGGTACAGTAACTTAAGCAGTTAGCAGTAGCCTGCATACATTAGCAGATAGCTTAGCGCTGAGGAGAAACCACATGGTAAAGGCTGCATTTGTTACTGAAATCTGTTTCTCTATAGACTCTCTATTAGCATGTCATCTTAGTGTGATTGTACATTGGCAGCCTTACTCAGACTACTGGTCATTAACTTAATCCATTCGACTGCTGTTGATCATACGTCATTACAAGCCATGAGATGAGTTTGAGGGGTGAAATAGACTTTGCCCTATTAGGTAGATCTTTGGCCTGCAACATGTAAGCTGTGCTTGCTTAAAGGGGAATTTCACCATTTTTTTTTTAATTTCCGAATAATTCAGTCTATGAGACAAAGTCATTCACAGTGGTTTGATGTGGAATGGTTTATTGTAGAGAAACTTACAGATTCTGATTTCTTTACAGTGGTGGTGATGGGAACCAGGGGTCACAATGTCTATAACACAAATATAGCCATTTTGTTTACTATCCAAAATCACCAGTGATCCTACACGTGCCTTCCGAGTTTTTATATGTAATGTTGACGATGGTAAAATAGTGGTAAATCTTAGGACACCCTGTAAGTGCCCCTCCACCATGAATGGATTAAAATAAATAGATTAAAATACATTTTATGCCAAAACTTAATAACAAAACTGTCAGACAATGTGTCAGACACAAGGCAGCGTATTTGTAACCAATTCATGTGATAGCTTTCTGTGAGGGAGCTTTCAGAGCCATAAATCTCTTAAGATGTCTGGTTCCTATCACCACCACTGTAAACCAGTCTGACTTGGCAAGTTTCTCAAGAACAGTGCTTTTCACATCAGACCACTCCCCTTTAACATTGTGTAATAGTAAAATTATGAAGAGATGTCAACATACTCTACACAAACAAAACATTCTTCAATAAAGGTCCAAAGTAAGAGGCCAAGAATGCATAATCTCAAAAGCACTTTTTGAACCTTTATCATATTGTGAGATGGAGTGATCAGACAGCAGAAAGAAATTATTTTTTGCTCTTTTTGCTATTGTGGTGTGAGCCAGTATGTGTGTATGAGAGAGAGAAAGATACGAGATAAAAAAAAATAACATTGGGTTTTGTTCTCTACATAGCAATAGATGTACTGTTTATTAGGTCATATTGATCAATGCCATCTACATTACCAGGACAGTTAGACAGTTTATTTTCAAAATAGCTAATATACTTTTTCATTATCTGGATTATTTGCAATCTAAACGACATTTCATCTCTGTCTCCAAAATGTTACCTTTACAGGAGAGAGCAAAATGTTCATTTTGAAAGGAAGTTAATGAAAAAAGATTTTTTTCCAAGCAGTTTTGGAGCATTTATGTTGGTCCATTCATCAAAAATTTCACACAATATAAAGGGCAAGTGTTGAGCTCAAATGATGTAGACAAATAAAAATCACAAAAAATGGAGATACCTGGGTCTTTGTTTTGTTTGTTTGTTTGTTTTTTGGACAGTGTGGTTAATAGTGTTATTTGCTTTCGAAAAATATGTGCCATGGATGTGCCATCTGGATTTAAGGCAAATTCAGCTATGATCAAAGATTAAGGTCAATGGGGGTGTATTTATTTATTTATTTATTTATTTATACATACCAATGTTGTTATGTAACACACATTTAATTTTTGCTGGGACTGTTTTGTGATTTTCTTCTTTTTTGCTGACATTTCAGCACAAGAATACTACATGATGCATCTTTAAACTGATTAAGTCTGGTAACTGCACATTTGGCCTAACACCTTTCATCTTTCGGTGTTGTGCACACTAATAGCTCAGTGCATTCCACACTGTACTTCAGCACTTCTCATTCACCTGTGACACCAAATCACTCAAGCTAGAGAAACAGCTTCTAGGTGCATGTTATACAATCACATTCAAAAGTAGTGGAGTAGTACTAATTATTACTAACACAATTTGAGAACTTAGCAAATTACACACTAGATCAACAACATAGATCTGCCTTCTAGATCAAATTTGTAAAAAAAATGCAGTATAGTGAGCCAAAACAGCATGGCATTTTGTGTGAAAAATTTGTTGACAAACTTACAGAGGATTATGGTGATATGTGTGGAAGATGATGCTTGGGAAGTTGTGCTGCCCAACACTCTTCAATACAGTCTTATTGTTGTGCTCGGAATTCCACATATTTTTTTTTTATATTCTGAATTCTAATTAAATTATTTTGAAGTAAACGAAGACATACAGAATGGTTTGTTTTGAAGTGCTGCATTCTATAGAAACTTAGTCAGAATCGTTTACAATGGAGATGAATGGAACCAGCCGTTCAAAGCATTTAATCCCTCTTAAAGATATATCACAAAGTTATTACATTTACATGGTTACAGATATGCAGCCTGATGCCTGAGACATTTTAGTTTTGAGAGCTTTTGACCTAAAACATATTTTTAAAAATCCATTCATGGTGGAGAGGTACATGCAGGGTGTGGTAAGGCATAATAACACACTAAGAATAAGTATTTCTTTTCGAAATATGCCAGTATTTTACTAAGAGTTGCATTCCTTATAAAAACTCAGAAGACACATGTAGGTTCATTAGTCATTCTGGATAGTAAATAAATGCCTGTATTTGTGTCATAGACATCTCGACCCCTGGTTCCCATCACCACCACTGTAAAGACGTTTCTCCACAATGCTAATGTCAAACAAAATATTTGACCGATGAACACAGTGCTAGTGGACAAACTATGTTTTTTTTCAGGAGACCGGGCCCACCATGGTAGGAGACGAGTACTCAGATCCTGCCATCATGAGCTATTTGGGAGCCAGGAAAACAACCATTCTGGGGAACAATTTGTAAGTGTTCAGAAGCACCTGACATGACAATTGCCCGTTCAAAGCAGTTACTCTTGGTTGTTCTTATTCTTTAACAAGAGTAATCCGCCAAAGAGCGTCTGATGATTATAAGATGCCAAACAGGACGGTAGACTGCTGAATTTGACAAGAATGTGTGTCACGAGGAAGCGAAAAAAGGGTTCTTAAACAAGAGTTAAGGGTTCTTAAACACAAAATATCACCATTTAAAAGAGATGATTTACATGCACATAGTACCTATCTACTGTCTACCCATAGTACCTATTTACTATCTATCAATAGTACATATCTACTGATTGCAGTCAAAACTGGTCTTATATGTTGAGGAGAACATGCAGTAAGGAGTTTTAGACTGTTTAAGGCCAAAAACATGCATATAATTATTGAGTTGATGTGTTTTAGCCACATCATGCTAACAAATAAATCAAGCACATAGCCATGCAGTCTCCACAGACAAACACTGGCAGTAAAATGAGTCATATTGAAGAGCTCAGTGACTTTAAGTGTGATAAGCCACCTTTGTCAGAAGTCAGTTTGTGAAATTTCTGCCCGGCTAAATCTGTAGGTCTCACAAACTGAAACACAAAGCGCACAAAACAAACGCCTATCCTCTGTTGCATCACTCACTACAGAGTTTCAAACTGCATCTGGAAGCAACATCAACACCAGAATAGTGCATCAGGAGCTTCATGAAAAGGATTTCCATAACCAAATGCTCACAAGCCTAGGATCATAATGTATATGAAGAGCACTGGCTGAAGTGGTGTAAAAAACGCCACCACTGGACTCTGGAGCAGTGGAAACGTATTCTCTGGAGTGATGAATCATGCGTCACTATCTGACAGGACGAATCTGGATTTGGCAAATGCCAGGAGAACACTACCTACCAGAATACAAAGTATCAACAGTAAAGTTTGGTGGAGGAGGGATAATGCTCTGGGGTTGTTTTTCAGGGGTTGGCTGAGGCCCCTTAGTTAAATTGAAGGGAAATCTTAATGCTTCAGCAGACCAAGACATTTTGAACATAAATACGCATCCAACTTTGTGGGAACAGTTTGGGGAAGGCCCTTTTCTGTTCCAGCAGTACCCCTGTGCACAAAACAAGGTCCATAAAGACAAGGTTTAACAGGTTTGGTGTGGAGGAACTCCAGAGGTCTGCACAGAGCCCTGACCTTAACCCCACTGAACTCTGAACTTTTTGCAAGTCAGGTCTTCTCATCCAACATCAGTGTCTGACCTCACAAATGCTCTTTTGACTGAATGGGCAAAAATTCCTGCAGACACACTCCAAAATCTTGTGAAAAGCCTTCCCAGAACAGTGGAGGTTGTTATAGCTACAGAAAGGTGCCAACTCCATATAATGTCCATGGTTTTTGGAATGTGATGTCCAACAGGTGTGACGGTCAGGTGCCCACATACTTTTGAACATATAGTGTACATTGTTTGTACCTCATTATTTGCAAACATTTAAACATGTAATCAAAAATATGAACAATGTAGAGCTGCCGATTCTCCATGTTATTGATTTCAGGCTGCCTGAGGTTAGACCTCCACTACTGAGCCAACAGATCTGTTCCCATAAGGAATTCTTATAGGGTTTCAGTCCAGCCACCAGATATCTTTTTTCCTGTCCTGGACAGCAGTGGCAGAGCTAAACTTTCATTCTTTAAAAAGTTACAACATGAGCCTTCACGTTTAGGGAATTATGGAAAGCATTTGTTTAAAATTAAGGTTGATTTGTCCATCTTTGTGCCTGCCTGACTGATATGAATTTGTTTTTTGCAGTTCAGAATACCACGTGGATGAACCTCCTCGATTGGTCCTAGATAAGCTTGAGAAGCTCGGCTATAAAGTTATGACCATGACGGGTGTTGGTCAGACTCTGGTGTGGTGCCTTCACAAAGAAGCCAGTGACCTCTGAAAATATTCAGTAGATCACTCTTTTTAGCACTTTTTCTGTAATTAAGGTTACATAGTGTTTACACTACCAAATGAAGTTATAAGGTCATATTCCATGTTCTAGTCCAGTGATTCTCCATCCTGGTCCTGAAGTATCACCGGTATGCTTGTTGTAGTGTTTTCCCTGCTCAAACACATCAACTTCAACTCAGGAAGTGCTTGTTGAACGGGAATTCCACTGATTTTTTTACATTTTAGCCTAATTCAATGGTCTTACTCAGATTCATTTACAGTGGTGGTGATAGGAACCAAGGATCACAGTGTCTACGAAGCAAATACAGCCATTTTATTTACTATATAAAATGACCTGCGAACACATGAGTTTTTATATGTAATGTTGATGAAAGTAAAATAGTGCTAGATTTGCCTCATGACACACTGCATGTCTCTCTCTGCCAATCACAGATTAAAAAATAGGTTTTAAACTAAAACCTAATCTCCAAACTGGTTCCTATCACCACCAATGTAAACAATTCTGATTCTAAAATGGCACATTTCACATCTCACTCTAAATGACTTGTTTATATCTTAGAGATTTTATTATATAGAACGTTTTGGTGAATTTCTCCTTTAATTAGATCATAGGTTGAATCAGGTGTGTTGGGAGCAGGGGAAGCTCTAAAATGTGCATAGCTGTGATACTCCAGGGCTACGATTGTGAACCAGTATTCTAGACTATTATCCTGTTCAGTGATCATAAATGAGAAATACTGTCCAAGACAAACTCTCCTAACAAATCTGCCTCTAGCAGATTTGAGCAGTATTAGCAGGCGACCACTTGTGTAAGTGTGATGGTTAATTTCTTTTTTGCAAAATAGTCTTGCAACCAAAACTGAGAACTTTTTTCATGCTAAAGCTGCACAATTAAGCCTGCCATATTAGATAAATGCCATCAGGAATGATGGAAAGCCAGTGTTTCACATTCCACAAGAAGCCAGTGTCCTGTTTAGATGCTGCATTCTTCTTCTTTTTTTAAATAAACTGTATGACATGAATAACTGCCATAAAGTAATATTATGAATTCTCATGTTTTATTAATTGCATCATATAAAATCTCTGTCAATAGATATTTTGCTGCAACTGAAGTGAAAGATTCCTCATTTTATACCAGAGAATTGAAGAAGGTCTTGTTGGAAGACAAAACTCATTTATTTCTATTTTATTGCATTGAAACGGGTTCATTTAAAGAATGTTCAGTTTATTGGTGGTTTTTAAAATGTAGCTTTCTCACATGTTCTCTGTAGCGTACATTCTATTTTTCTGGTAAACTGCAAATACTGCAAAGAACTGTGTAAACTATATGTTTGGTCATGTATGTGATATTACAGTGAGAATGAAATAAATAAAGGTTTAAATTCAAGAAATTGACTGAAACCACTGCTGTCCCTATGTTATTTTACTTAGTGGGTGTTTGAGTATCTTCATTTCCACCATGTTGATCATACAGTTGTCAGCAAACCCCTCCACTCTATACAGTCGTACCCAAACCTTTGAGTGCCTCTGGGCAAGTGACATTGTGCTGAGTTTCCAAGCAAAAAAAAAAGTTAATACAGCTTCCACAGAGAACACACACATGCACATTTTAATGCACAGTTACTGTTTATTTGCTGAATTTAAGATCTGGTGAAAATAAGAAACATGTGGCCTGTGTAATTTTTATGGCACATTTTGTATATTTTATTTTTTCCAATATGTTCCAGCAAATTCTGCACCAAAGCTTGCAGAAGAATTCCATATTAAAGTTTGCTCCCTGTGAATATGTGTTAACTTATTTTCACTTAGAAAATCAACAGAACTGGAGGTGTTCAAACCTTTGCATATGAATGTATCTCAAAGAATTTCGTTGGAGCCACTACTGTGTCCTCATCAAAGGCTGCACAAAGGGTGCATAGAGGGTGCTCATGAGCAGCGCCTGTAATGCTGAAATGAGAAATGAGACACCCTATAGCAGGGCTGCACAACTCCAGTCCTGGAGGGCCGGTGTCCAGCACAGTTTGGTGATCTACCTGCTCCAACACACCTGATTACACTTATCTGTTAATTGCCAGATTTAGTGGATGTGTTTGAGCAGGGAAACCTCCAAACTGTGCTGGACACCGGCCCTCCAGGACCGGAGTTGTGCACCCCTGTCCTATAGCCCTGTGTGCATATGCAGTCGAGGACCACAAGTGTGAAAATTGGGACAGGTCCAAAGTCCTGCAGGTTTTATGGTGGAAAGTGGTTACCATTTATAGTATTAGCTAAATTGCTCTACTAAAATTAAAAAGTTATATTGCAAAATGCATTAAATATTGTTGGGAGTGGACTTTTTACATAGAAAAAATAATAATGCTATGTTACATTTAATACTACCTGTATTATTATTGTGTATTATGCTGGGTGTACGCAGAGCTAACATACAATTGTACAAAATTGTACAAAAAGCCTTTTTTGGCTATTTTTATTGTTCTACATCATTCAAACACAGCAGCTGTCCTTTACAATGTGTGAAAAGTTCATGATTACTTGGAATAAAACCTCTTTACATTGACTTACATAAAAAGTTTTTGCCTTCTACAGTAAAGTTACTATTTTGGAAATACATGCCTTTCTTTGGACAGTGACAATCTGCTGCTAATGTGATTCAAGAGTTTCATTCTTTCACACAATGTATATCCATTTGTGACAGTTTTGGATATAGTGAGTTTTGAAAAGAATAACAGCTGATGTACAATGGAAAACATTTTATTTCTCTAATAAAGGTGGTATTAATTGTGATATAGCATTAATATGTCTTGTATGTATTCCACTCCTAACAGCATATAATGCATTTTGCAACAAACCCTTCAATTCTAGCAGTGCAATTTAGCCAGGCTTAAAGACAACCACTGAATAAAGGCCTAGATAATTTTAACAAACTCAGTTTTATTTATCATACAAAGCAGTAGAGGCTCCTGCAGCAGATATTACACATCCATACACACAACCCTGCACACAACACTACCACCATACTCACTAGTAGCCTACATTTTCTCAGGTTTCATATATAGCTATGAGTCAGGCCAATCTGCTCAACATCAAAAGAATGGCTGGAGTGAACTGCTAGGTGGCACAGTATATTTTCAGGGATAATTCAATAGTAATTCAGTGTTAGAGTTCATCGTTCATTTCTTATGAGAAATGAGGGAAATTCCATCCATTTTTCAAACTTTTTTGTATAATTCAATCATTAAGACGTAAACAAAGTCATTAAAAGTGTTTTAATTTGAAAAATGCTCAGTTCTAGAGAAACTAAATCGGAATTGTTCACAGTGGTGGTGATAGGAACCAGACATCTGGACCATTGAATACTGTGAAGCTCCCTTACCAAAAGTAGTTACATGAAATGGTTACAAATATGCTTCCAGGTTCCTGAGACATTGAGACAGATTGTGGCCTAAAATGTAACGATGCAAACAGGATAAGAGAACCCAATGAAACTCTTTAGAATTACCACTATGTTACTATCATCAATGTTACATATTAAAACTCAGAAGATACACGTGGGTTCACTGATTGTTTTGGATAGTAAATAAAATGGCTATATTTGTGTTGTAGACATTGTGACCTCTGGTTCCTATCACCACCACTTTAAGGAAGTCTGAGTCGCTAAGTTTCTCTACAATAAAGCATTTTACACCAAACCACCCCGAATGTCTTTGTTTACATCTCAATGATTGTATTTTGTAGATTAAAAAAATGAAAGTCCCCTTTAAAAATCAAGCTATTAAATGTCAAACCCATTAGCATTTCGGTGTCTGCATTAATGACATGATGATCATGTGCATTCCTTAATTCCTGTGTAACTTCAGTTTTTTTCAACTTCAAAGTCTTCAGTAAATATAGAACAGGACCATTCTGCAGCAATGTCAAGACTGAATTATGCTATCATACAATATTTTAAGCTCAGGCATTGCAACTATTGACACTGATTAAATCATTGCGACAGGCCTGTTTCAAATGAAATGGCACATTTCACTTGTCACCATAGCTACAGCATGAATAGCGTAAAAGCTACAGAGCTCAAATATGCCATTAAGTGCCAATGAAGCCCCTGCTGAGAAACAAAACTCCACCAAAGCAGAGACCAAAAGAACAGCCAAAACCAGACAAGCCAGATACCATAATAAGCAGGGGAGAAGAGCTGGTCCTATGGGAGATTTGGTCTGGAGGGCAACTTGTCAACTCTCCAAATGTTCCATAAAAGGCTCATTGAGGCTCACGCTGGAGCTGTAAGTCACGGTTGAAAACAGGGTTATAATTCATTAAGTGCCTGGCTGAGGAAAGTAAGCCCTACATATTGATGGTAGGCCTGAAGATGCAGACTCATGTGAAGTTACCTATAAGCCACTGAAAAATAAAGTAAGAAAATAGTTGAATATTTGGAATAGTAGGAATAGTTGGTTAGGATGGCTAAACCCAGCATGTCAAAGGTTTGGCAATTAGCAGAGTTAAATCAGACATGATGGATTGAGAGTTTTCCTCGCTCTGTGTTAAGCAGCAGATCTCTAGTGCTGGGATCAGGAATCTCAGAAATAGTAAACAGAAACATTAGCGCATAATTCAGCAAATACAGAACAAATATGACCTTTGTGCCGATGTTCAGAGATGGTGGAAGATACAGAAGGGTACTGGTGCCTATTCTACAAAAAAATCAAGTCAAAGAATATAGTTCCTCGATAGTAGAGAGACTACGGTATTGAAATTCGGTATTAAATAACAGAATTTTTCATTATTTGGTAGTATTGAACAAATAGAACTTTGTTCCACTGAAATTACTTATTTTTGTTTCATCAGCATTTGAATTTTATATTGATATAACAAAGTCCTTATATACTGGCTTTAGAAATAGAAATGTGTGGCATAACTAAATTAAGTTCAAAAATTTTGAGTGTAGCCATTGTCCAGATTGGAGGGCTGTGAAGAGTCCATGTGAGGGATGAGAGAGATCTTTATTTATACACCGTTCAGTGTTGATGCATTTGATTTAAGGAAAAATTGACCCAGTGATGGAGTGTGCAGTCTTTACTACCTGCTGTGGTGCTTGTCTATCAGAGAGGGAGCAGCTTCCATTCTCAAGAATGATGTAGAAGCGGTAGAGGATGGGAAAACACTGCTGGCCTTTTTCAGTCTCCTTAAGAAGCATAGATGCCTTCTTCACTTAGGAGAAAGAGTTCAGGGCCCGGGAGAGAATGTTAGTGATGCACGCACAGGGAATCAAAGCAGTGCTGTACTACAGTACCACTGATATGTAGTGAGGTTTGAGGCTCTTGCATCCTCTGTAAGTCAACAATGTTTTTTTGTCTTGCTAAAATTATAGAGGAATTCTACCAATTTTTCATGATTCATAATTAAATGGTTAATATATAAACATAGTCATTCAGAGTGGTCTGGTGTGAAATGCTCTGTTCTAGAGAAACCTACAGAGTCAGAATTGTACACAGTGGTGGTGAACTGGGGGAACCAGACGTCTGAAGAGTTTAATGCCCCTAAAAGCTACCTTACAGAAAGATATTATGTGAAATGGTCATAAATGCGCTGTGTGATGCCTGAGACATTATTTTAATGATAGTTTTGAGATTCAGTTTTGGCCTAAAACACTTTTTTAAATACATTCATGGTAGAGCGGTGCATACAGTGTATTCTAAGACACAATAGGGCTCAAAATGTATTTTTCATTATTAAAAATTACATATAAAAGGGGTCAGTAAGTTTCTCAACAAGTCACCATTCTATTACTCTGAATGATGTTGATTATCTCAGCAACTGAATTATGTAGCTATTTGGAAAAATTAGTTGTCTGTGCACCACATTTCTAGCTGCTCAACTCCTCTCTGTAGAAACACTTGGTAATAAACGTGAATTGGCGTATTGTCAATATGCAATTGCCCTTTATATTATGCAAATATTTTAGAATGAATGGACCAATAGAGATTATTCAAAATTACTTGGAATAAAATATTTTTTACATTACATTTTTTTCCTTCTTCTATACATGTACCATTTTGGAGGCTCAGGATTTTTTTTGACAGCAACCATGGGCATTGCTAGGCCATTTTAGGGGGGGCTTTAGCTCCCGTTAAATGTTATTTAGCCCCCTTCCTAAGTAAATGTATATTATTAGTACAAATTGTCTAGTTTATTCTCATTCACAAAATGCTGTAATAGCGGGGGGAGGCATTGCTGCTGCTGCTCTAATGCAGCACTGCCTCTGCTGTACTACCACAGATTGACTAGTGTAACGTTCAGCCAATCATATCAGACTTCATAGGTTGTAAGCCAATCATATTAGACCTGGGGGAGGGGCTCTGTTTATGCACTGCAAAGTAATCAGTAACCGATGGCGGTTAGTGATC